TTCAGCCCTAGAGCTCCTTCTTGACTCCTGTTTCTGTTGCAGCGGAAGTGACCTGCGCCCCAAACCAGTTCCAGTGTACCATCACCAAGCGCTGCATTCCGCGGGTGTGGGTGTGTGACCGCGACAATGACTGTGTGGATGGATCTGATGAACCCGCTAACTGCAGTAAGGAGCTACTGTGTCAAAGGCTTTTTGGCCTGGGAATGGGATGGCAGGGAGTAGGGTGGCTGATCCATAAGCCCATAGCTTTTGGCTAGAAAGCCTCTGCCTTTCTGCTTTTGAGAAGATGGTGGATTTGGTGCCCTCAGCTTAGCCAGCCATGCATGCCAAAGATGTTATGGAAGTGCTGTTATGAAATCAGCAAATAAGCTTTCCAGTTGCTTATTTGGTGTTAGAGCCTTGTGCAAATTGCATCCTAGGGTAAGGATTTGCTCCAAATTGGATCCACAACCAACACAATGTTCTCCAGATTCTGTTGGGCCCCAACTTATATCAGCCCCAGCCAACGTGGCAAGAGTAAAGGATGATGGGACTTGTAGTCCATAGCATATGGAGGGTACCAGGTTGGGAAAAGCTGATGTAGAGCAATGAGCTGTACAGGCCTGTCCTACACCCTAGAACACATCCCAGAATCCTTGGCGGCATCACAGTGATTCCTTGGCCAACAAGTCAAATTTAGAAAGGATTTACTAGAACTCAAGTGTTTGAAAAGCAATAGCCGTACAACCTGATTGCTATTTAAGAGAAGGTGTCATTTTCTGGGATCTAAGTTCTACAACAGATTCTGTACTTGGTGCAAAGTTATTTACATGTGTACTCTCAAACAGCTTTTTATAAGAAAAGTAATTTTCTGTGCCTCCCCTGCCCTTATTTTGTAACAAATGGTTGCAACAGTGACAATTTTACCTTTCCAACCTTTGAAATGTTTCTCTCTTCACCCTCCCAGCACAAATGAGATGTGGGCTGGATGAGTTCCGGTGCAAGGATTCGGGGCGGTGCATCCCAGCACGTTGGAAATGTGATGGGGAGGATGATTGTGGAGATGGGTCAGACGAGCCCAAGGAAGAATGTGGTGAGTTGATGGTGCAGTCAACTGGTGAACTATGCTGCACTAAGACAGAGAGTCTGGCTTGCTCCTTTTCCTATGGTTGATGAAAGGAACTAGAAGTGGCACATTTGCCAGAGTCTGGGAGAGAGCCTGCGTAAGGGAAGCAGCACCTTTGTAACATGTGCAAGTCAAAATAGGAAGTCCCAAGGTGCAGACCAGTTGCATCCCTTGTCTCCCTCCTGTCTTGTCAAAAAGGAAGTCAATCAAAAGAGGGACCCTAGAGATACTAGCCTTTTTGCCTAAGATTCACCCAGACTGTTCTAAGTCAAGTTCAGAGCTTGGCTAAACTAGTACTTCATGCTGCAGTCCGGATTGGTCCTTGCCAATCCACTTAGATTAAACAGGGGTTGCCAACTTGATGCCCTCCAGGCAGGGCTGTAGCTAGGAGGTGGTGAGGTGGGCCCCCACCGGGGGCGCAGGCGGTGGGGGCGCGCGCGCAAAATCAGCTAAAATATGTCCATAAATATAAATATTGATTATTGCCTCATAAGAAATGGTTTTAAATAGAGGGTGAATTGAATGGGTGGAGGGGGCAGGGTTGGAGGAGAGGCAGAAAGAAGAGCTAATTTGTCTATGGCTAGGGGGCGCAATCTGGACAGTTCTGCCAGGGGAGCAAGATCACCTAGCTATGGCTCTGCCTCCAGGTATTGTAGGGCTGACTAGTGCCCCCCTGACCATCAGCCTTGCAGGATGGAGTTGTCTTTGTGCTCAAGCTGCTCTGTGTACAAGAAGGCATCCAGAAGATGCCTTGTGAGCAAGGATAGCTATTTTTTGATGGGCTTTGTTTTTGATGCTGTTTTTACATTTACTGATGTCGTCCATTTCCTACCTTTTCTCTTCCCTGTGTCACTTCCTTTCTTTTCAGACGAGCGAACTTGTGAGCCCTATCAGTTCCGCTGCAAGAACAACCGCTGTGTGCCGGGTCGCTGGCAGTGCGACTATGACAATGACTGTGGAGATAACTCTGACGAGGAGAGCTGTAGTATGTGCCCCCTTCAGCCCTACACTGGGAGAGCAGAATGTTTGCATGTGGGGAGGGTGGCGGTCTTCTGACTTTTCCTGTGGGCTTGGTCCTTGTTGGATGGAGGAAATAAAACTAGCATTGCTTGTAGGAAGAGGACACTTAAATCTGGGTCTCCCTTTTCTATGAAAAGGATCATCCCATCAACGGATGGAAGCAGAAGATGGCCTTGAGGCTGGAATAAACTAGAGCATTCAATGGGGAACGTCCAAATGCTGCTGGACTCCAACTCCCATCATTCCCAGCAAGCAGAGTCGTGGGCAGTTATAATGGGAGTTGTGGTCAAAAAAATCTGGAGGGCCATAGGTTGCCCCCTCTGAATGATGAAATTTCAGAAAATACTGGCTGGGTTTCAGGCCCAAGAGTCCTTTCTATTCTGGTATAAATAACATTGAGAGGGAGGAAGCCAAGAATTCCACTAAAATGCCTTCAAATTATGTGCCCTAAGCCCTGCCCAAGCCAACAACTATGTACCTTTCGGCACCAATTGTTGCAACCATCTCAGCCTATGGTAGCTGCAGGGGAAAGTCTGGCTTCCATGCAGCTTCCAAACCTGGAGTGAAGTGAGTGTGCAGACTCACTGGTGCAGGACTAAGCCCAGATAACCTTTTAGCTGCACCATCCTAAATTGTCTTCCTCTCTGCTTGCCCTCTGCTGTTTCAGAATGCTGGGCTGCTCTCAGCCCCTCCAACTTGTGAGATCTTTTGGAGAAAGGTTTAGTTGGGGCTGAACTAGGAGGTTCCTCCCCATTTTTTGAAGCCTGATAGTTAACTCTTCTCACCCTACATCAGCAATGCTGGTTTTAAGTATGCCTTACCCTCTCTGATCCTAGCTAAAGTGAGAGGTGCATCAAACAATGGCCAGCCTTTGGCCATCTCCAAGCATGGGAGGGAGTTCATCAATTCCACAGTGCTTTGCTGCCATCAGTTGGCTTCTCATCTGCACAGCATGAAAAAAGTGGTCCGAGAGAGAGCCAGCAAGTGATGGTGGGGGGAGAGAATCTCAGATGACTGACTGACCCATCATGCGATTCCAGCCCAGTCACTGAGATCTTTGACAGAGCTTCTGTTAGCTGTCCCCCCATGACTCAGTTGCATGTTTCATAACTTCTAGAAGCCATGCATTCTGTGTATTGGGCCCAAGCCTATGGAACTCCCTCCCAACTGAGGTTAGACAGGCCCCTCCTAGCTGAGAATGCCTTGTTCCAGCAAACATTTTAAGGCAGTGTTTGGTTTTATAAGTTTTTATTGCCTTCTTACCCCATTTTCTGTTGACACCACTTAGCAGTGTAAATAATGAAGCAGTATATAAATGTCTTAAATAGAGATAAATTTAATGAATGAATGAATTAGTTGCAGTCATCCCAGGGAGGCCAAATGGCTCCTACTTTAAATCTCATTAGAAGCCAAAGAGGCCTCCAGCAACAGATGGTGTTGTTACATTATTTTTAAGATTCACAATGGGTGCCCCACCTCCTCCCTTGCCACTTTCTCTCCCCCACCCCTGTAGACTCTAGACATGACTTTCTTTCAGGTTCTTTTGGTTTTTTATTTTATTTTACCACGTTGTGTAATTTGAGTTTGTGCCATTTCACTTCATCTTACGTTTTTCTCCATTTTCACACTGTCGTATCGGGGCTTGCAGAGGTAGGTTTCTGTCGAAAATATTTTTCCTTTCCCCTTTAAAACCTTAACCATGGTAGAAAGAAAGGCTGGGGTGGGCAGAGGTGGGAGGACCATAGTGGTATTGGGATTGCCATGTTATTTCCCATGTGTTTCCCACTCTCCCCCCCAAAGTAATTGAATGGAGAGGGCTTCTCTGTGTGCTGCTTTGCTTGACTCCCGGCCATCCCTAAGGTCAAAGCAGGCTATAATAATGCCTTCTCTCATTTATCTGCTGTCTCTCTCCTATACCTCCCTTTGATGGATAAAGAGGTTTGCGAACTAGGACACACATCCACTCCAGTTGGGTGAAGTTAGTGTGCCCATCCAGTTTCTCCTTAGCAAGCCTTCCATTACCGATGGGAACTGGGTGGGGCTTCCCATGGCATCCCTTAGGGTGGTACCTTGTATGTCTAGATCACTAAAAAGCGGAGGCAGGAACAGGCAGGGTGCTGCCCTCTCAATGCTGCTGCCACTTGCCACTTGGACCAGGCAGGCTGCGCAGTCACCCTGCCACAAGTGCACCCATGCAGCCCTACCCTCAGTGCCACCCTGCCCCATCCCAGTAAGCAGGAGCAATGATGGTGTCAAGAGGGTGGCGACATGGCACTGCCCTACCACACTGGCCCTGCCTGAGCAAAAAGCAACAGCATTAGAGGGAAGGCCATAGCTCAGTGCTAGAGCACATGCTCTCTATGCAAAAAGTCCGGGGTTTAAAACCCATCATCTCCTACACAAGCCTGGGAATGTCCCCTGCCTGAACCCCTGGAGAGCCACAACCAGAGAGTGCAAACCGTACCAAGCTCCTAGTTCCAATAGTCTGACTCAGAATGAGACAGTTTCCTGTGTTCGTAACACTTGTAATAACATTGATTGAAAATATATTTTGAGGGGCTGCCATCAAACAAGCAGATACCAAAAGCAAGGTTGCAGGGAAAATGGTCAGCTGTGTGTCTCCTTCTCTCCCCTGGAGCATCTAAGTGAAACTCTGCACAGGTCATCTTCGTACAGCAAATTTCCCTGCTCTCCTAGTGACAGTCGCTTAAGTGGGGCAAGAAAAGGACCATGTAACTTGCAGCATGGCGATGTCACACAACACACATTGAGAATGTTTAGATGTTTGGGGAAATAGAGACGGATCATATAATCGTAGAGTTGGAAGGGACCACAAGGGTCATCTAGTCAAAGCCCCTGCTATGCAAGAATCTTCTTGCCCAATGTGGGGCTCAGACCCATGACCCTGAGATTAAGTAAGAGTCTCATGCTTTACCAACTGAGCTATTGCAGCGATGCAAAGCTGCAAAAGCTGTGATCTAGAGGGTATAAATAAGGTTTCACTCCTCCTCCTCCTCCTCCTCCTCTCCCTGCTGCCTGCATCTGCAAAGCTGCTATGGGTGGTGGGAGGTGGGGATGCTTTTTGGCTGTCAAACAGAACTGCCTCATATTTTCCACTCCTGGGATTCCCAGTTGAGACAGAGTGACTGGGATGGTTGCCACTGTCTGCCAGAAGCTGCTTGTGTGGAGAATGGGGGTTTGATGTAGCCAGAAACCACTCATGTATCCCCTCTTCTTCTTCCCTCACCCCAAGTCCTTTGTGGCCTCTCCTGTGTTCTCTTCTTTGTCGTATTGAAGTCGAAAGACACTGATTTGTTTGAATAATAATATTTCCAGAGATGCCCTGGGAATAATAGAGAGCAGTGTTTATTCCCTGACTTAACAGAAGATGCTCCTGTGCTCGCTGGAACCTTCCGTCTCACCTGCTCTTGTGCTCTTTCTGCCTACAGAACCCAGGCCTTGCTCCGAAAGCGAGTTCTCTTGCGCCAACGGGCGCTGCATTGCAGGCCGCTGGAAGTGTGATGGGGACCATGACTGTGCTGATGGCTCTGATGAGGTAAGGAGCAAGTCAGGTGCAAAGTGTTAAGCAATCAGAGAACACCAGAATTTGCCTGCTTTCATTTCTTGTAGGAGCAAACTTGGGAGCAGGTTAACTCTAGGAAAGGTGTGGGAAACTTCATTTGAATGCTGGTGAAGTGTTACTGTAAATAGGCAGGGAGGGGGCATGGAGGGTATAAGAACTCTTTCAGTGAAAAACATGGGATGTTACTGGGTGTTTTAGGTATTCACTTATCCAAATAAGGCCTGCCTGGGATTTGGTAACCCTGTTTCCTTTGCTTTCTCCCCACAGAAAGAATGCAAACCTCGCTGTGATCAAGACCAGTTCCACTGCAAGAGCGGTCACTGTATCCCACTGCGATGGCGCTGCGACGCTGATGCCGACTGCATGGATGGCAGCGATGAAGAGGACTGCAGCACTGGAGGTAACGCCCCTCTTACTCCCTCTTCCTCAGAAGAGGATATCATACTGGCTTCAGCCGCTGTGTACCTGCAAAGCATCAGTGCTGTAACGAGTGCCAAGTAACAAGTTACAAGGATGCTCTCATTTCCCCCAGCAAGCAGGTGCAGGGTTGCCTCCAGGCTTCAGAGGGCACTAGGCAACACTTCCTCTGTCCGTCATTGGGCCCTGGTGCTGAGTGACACTAGTTGAAGGGACTATGGGATGTTAAAAGAGTGACTTGATCCAGGTGTTCAGAATGCTGGGCCAAACAAACTTTCCAAGGGGTCCCCTGCCAGCTGCCAAAGATGCCAGGTGCTGGCACCAGCCCCCCCCCCCCAATCAGGTGGTATGTGCAAGAAACTGGTTGTGGAACTCCTCACTGCTCTAGATTTAAGACCTCTGAAATGTACTCGCAGCTCGAGTGGGGCTCTCAGTGTCACACCTTCGCAGTTTCTCCCTCCCTGTCCTCCAGGGATTCCATGCTTTGTAGGAGGAGGTTTTGTAGCTGATGTGACTGGGCTTCTTTCCCCACTTTGCAGTGCGGACCTGCCCCCTGGACGAGTTCCAGTGCAACAACACCTTGTGCAAGCCGTTGGCCTGGAAGTGTGATGGTGAAGATGACTGTGGTGACAACTCAGATGAGAACCCTGAGGAATGCTGTGAGTGCCTCTGCCCCTCTTGGCGCACCTCTCCTACTCTTCCCTGCCTGCTGCTCTGCAGAACTGAGAAAGTGAAGGGCAGCATCCACATCACATGGGGGGGAAGGTCCCCCACCCCCAGGCTGAAGATCTTGGGAAAGGTTGAACCCGAGCTCATCCTCTGAGGCCCTTCTTTGTGTACCTCCTCCGCGAGAGGTCCAGAAGGTGGCAACATGAGAGCAGGCGCTTTTTGCAGTGGGGTGCTCTCCCCAGGGAGGTTCGCCTGGCGCCTTCATTATACACTTTTAGGTGCCTGGTGGAAATGTTCCTCTTCAAACAGGCCTTTGGCTAATTAACATCCGATGCCCCTTAAAATGTGTTGGGTGGGGCATATTGTTTTGTTTTTGTTCTTGTTTTTAATATGTATTTTGCGTTTTTTTTAAATATTTTTGTGTTGTGAAACATCCTGAGATCTACGGATGAAGGGTGGTATACAAATTTAATAAATAAAGATAATAAATAAAAACGTATGTGGGACAGTAGCCTGGATCCCTAGACAGCAGCTTCATGTCTTACTGTGTAACCAGATCCTTGCTTGTTTTCTCCAAAGCTGCAATCACATCCCAGGAATGGAGGAGAGTGATGCAGGATGGAGGCGGGGGGAGGCAGAGGCAGGCAGAGAGGCAAGGCCTGCATTGTCAGCCACCCAGACATTTCCATGTCCTCTGGCTCCCACATTCACTCTGACCATTTGTTTCTGTTTACTGGTGCAGTGAAATTCCAGTGTCCCCCCAACAGACCGTTCCGCTGCAAGAATGACCGTGTGTGTCTCTGGATTGGCCGCCAGTGTGATGGAATTGACAACTGCGGTGATGGCACTGATGAGCAATTCTGTGGTGAGTGCCTTCCTTGCTTTCTCCACCCTCCCCTGGACAACTCTCCAGTCCTGTGTCACCCATACTAGTGCCAAACCATAGCTGTAACAGCAGGGATTAAGGTACTTATTTCCCTCCTGGTGTTCTTGGATTCCCAACTCCCATCAGCCCCAGCTAGAACGGCCCATGGTTGCATGGAGATGATGGGAGTTGTAGTCCAACATCATGTAGAGAGGCACTTTCCCCCCATCCCTGTGCTAATGCTTCTCTGAATTAAAATTATGGTTTGCTTTCATATTATGAAAGAGTAAGAATTACTCACATTTCTGGAATGTCTTTATGTGGTTCATCATTTTAAGCATGCCCAGAGCAATGACTCATGCCGAGGTGCAACAGGCATGGTTCTCTGTAGGCATGGCTGCTCTGTGCTGTCTTTCTGACTTGAATGGCCAGTCACATCTCTAAGATTCAGTATCCTGCTTTTTGGGCGGGAGGGGGAGTTAAAATAATAGGCAGATGATAACTTTGACTTCACAACACGCTCTCTTCGCTTCTCGCTGTCATCTCTGCAACCTCTTAGACTTGCCAACCACCAGGCCCAGGAGCTGCAGCCATGAGAAGAATGAATTCCTCTGCAAGAGCGGGAAGTGCATCAGTTCTGAGCTTCGCTGCAACTTCTTTGACGACTGTGGAGACGGGTCTGATGAGGATAGTTGCTTGCCAGGTGAGGGGATGAATCACTGAAGCACCATGTACACCTTTGGGCAAGCAGAGGAGCTGGTGTTTTGTTTGGGGGTGAAGTGGAGAGGGGAGCATTATAAGCCCAGTATGACCAGCTTATAATGAGGATGTATGTGGCTTGGCCGATCACAAACATGCTCCCAGTCTTCCTCCTGCTGTTCTCTTGCCTCTTGCCATTTCTGCCTACTGATGCAAGATTGTCTGCTCCCGTCTCCTGCCTGCAGATCTCAAGATGCCAATTGGCTGCAAGGCCAACGTGACCATGTGTGGCGAAGAAGCCAAATGTGTCCAGACCCCCACATCTGTGTACTGCACCTGCCGCCCTGGCTTCCAGAAAGTGCCAGACAAGAATTCTTGCCAAGGTATTGGGCCAAAAGACAGGTTCTGCCAAGGCCAGAAGTTAGCTGGCCACTAGCATGAAGTCGCCTCAAATTCTTTGTGAGCCCCTTTGAAGTTGTCTGTGAGATTCTGTGGGTTGAGCCCAGAGGAAACGGGTGGCAGCAATAGCGAGGGCTCTTTCAGGTGAGGGAAGACTGAAGAGCGAGATCTAAGTGTGTTCAGTAAATAAAGTTAGGGAAGCAACTGCTTCAGCATTACATAAAAGGGAAGAATGTGTCCATAGCTGTGGAGGGGAAACCACATGTGGTTGATGGAAGGCAAGGCAAGGCAGACCGCCAGGCAGAACTGCTGTATTGGTAAAGGTAAAGGTCCCCCTGCCCGTACGGCCAGTCGTGACTGACTCTGGGGTTGCGTGCTCATCTCGCTTAAGAGGCCGGGAGCCAGCGCTGTCCGAAGACACTTCCGGGTCACGTGGCCAGCGTGACGAAGCTGCTCTGGCGAGCCAGCACCAGCGCAGCGCACGGAAACGCCATTACCTTCCCGCTATAAAGCGGTACCTATTTATCTACTTGCACTTAGGGGTGCTTTCGAGCTGCTAGGTGGGCAGGAGCTGGGACCGAACGACGGGAGCGCACCCTGCCGCGGGGATTCGAACTGCCGACCATACGATCGGCAAGTCCTAGGCACTGAGGTTTTACCCACAGCGCCACCCGCGTCCCACGCGGTGCTGTATTGATAGACAGCAACAAATGGGCTGATGGCATTCACAGTCTGCCAGGCATGCAGGGGCTGTAATTTGAGTTTATTGCGTCTTTCATCCTAGCTCCCTGGCTAATGACAGTGACTGTGGACAAGTCAATTTTTGCAATCGGCTATAAAGCAGTAAATTAACACCTGATTGGTAGGGAGCTGCCCAGGGTGAATGCCACCCCAAATCCTAGTGATTATGAGATTCAGCTTGATGAGAATGACGAAGAAGATGATGATGGTATTAAATAATTATATATGAGCGAATATTGCCTACAGCCATAGCATCCTTTTGTAGTGCTTGTACAAAAATGGCTTTGAAAAGACAAGGTCCCACTTTCAGGCTCCTACAAACTAACAATAATGAGATGAGCAGAGCACAGAAAGGGGAAAAGCCAGAAGAGGGATTCTGGGTGCGTTGCTAGGGAAAGTCTACAGGCAGGAATCTGGTTTGGTATCGTGTTTGTGGACATTCTTCTGGAAATCTAAATGGATTTTTCTGTTTCCGCTTTTAAAAAATGCATTCTCTTAGAGGAATTGCACCCAAAGGAAAAACATTGTGCCAGAATTGACCCTAAAAGATACACGATAGTACTGGATAAGCACACATC